CCGCGATCCTTATTTCTGTTCCTCCAAATTCACAGCGCAAGTTATGTGATTATGCACCAGCCGCTACTGGGCTGATAGATGGATAGATTTTACGTATAAAGATACATGCTGCCATCTGCTGTCCTATTTCCACTGTGGCACAGAGGAATGATAAAAACGGCGTCAAACGCACGGCCAACTCAGACTAACTGACAGACTGGTGAAGCTGTGGTGTTGTGCGTTTCTTAATTTATCGAGGTCTCAACACACAGGGAACATGCTTTATCAAGGGAGCAAAATAAATATATCTTTCCTTCCTTACAGTTAAGAGTTTATTGTAATGAGGAAACCGGAGTCTGTCCTGCAAACGGACACAAACAGGGCATACGCCGGTTAATTATTGTAGGACAAGCAGATTGCATTGCGTTTATCGTTTATGTCTTTTTTTTTTTGCTTTTGCAAAGGAGAGCATACATTTTAAGAAGAACAAGCTGATTGCAGTGGAGTGCGGGATCAGAAACTAGCACATAATTAACAGCCACCTTACCTGTTTTAACAGCTGGGGTCCTAATGACTTTGTCACGTTACAACAAAAATATTTTCGAACAGAAATTCGAAAGCTTTACTTTTAATTGCATTATATTTCAACTCGTGACACCTCGTACACGATGCGCACTGGATAAGCGAATCCAAGAGGGACGCGACGCATCGGCGTCCTCTGCGGCAGGGGCGGGCGTGTCACACAGAAAGGGCCGCTGTGTTTGCGTGTTTTCGCTGCAACTCCCTAATTAGATTACTAATTAGAGGACTGATTGGATGAAGAGTCCTCACAACTGGATTTTGAACAGCTGACCTAAAGGTTGCCCCAAAAACCTGCATACACACCAGCCCTTTGCGGACCCCCCCCCCCCTTACGGTTGTAGGTCACCGCCCCTTGACCCCATGTGCTGTCTGAGATGGATGGATAATCTTTTTCCGGAAATAGCAAGCAGACGCACATCTTCCTTACCATAATTTTGTAAAAACAAATACACTCCTTGGGAGAATGGGCGATTGATTTTTTTTTAAAATCACACATTACTATAAATGCGTGATTATGAAACGCAATTACCGCTAAAAAAGAAAAGGAAACTAATATTTTAGTATGACGTCTGTATACAGAAACAGCAGTTAAAAATACTAAATGCCCCGCTTTATAATTCATTAGCAAACAGCTGTTAGGCGAATTGACAGTGAGTTTGAATCTCAAAATCTCAAACATTGCTGAAAGCAAACGTGCAGGCGGCATTAATGAAGGCTATCCTCCCTGTCAGGGGACTCCACTGTACTGACCTGAGCCCACAGCGACTCTGCAGACTCCTGGTTGATCCGTAACTTCAATGGTGATAAATCCGGACTGGGCATCTTTCAGAATTACGCCTCATGCCCGGTGTGGGCAAGGCAGACCTTTGACTAATTAGGGTAACCTTCCCCCACCAGCGACGGTACAAGAAAATAAAATAATAATAATAAAATAATCAGATCCATGGCACTCACAAGAGCAACGGGCCAAAAAAATACCCCAAGAGAAGATTAGAAGATTTTCGAGTTGCTACAATCTGTTCCAGACAGTCAGTTCTGCTGAACCTATAGTATTTTGTGTACTTTTGAATCTCATTAATGTTTAAGATACATTCAGCTTACAATATGGGAAAGGTCTTCCAATTAATCAGCCAGAATGAATACTAGTTTCGCCAGCTGAAGAAGATCGTTTTCCCTTAATCACTGTTACTGCTGTCAGACTCGCCAAGCTACAGGACACCCAACTGCAGATATTATTCATACTTAGAGAATTTCTAAGTTACCCATTAAAAACGCATCAGCGTCTTCAGGCACTTTTAAAAATGTAAGCGAGGACTATGTGTAATAGCGGCGACTCCTTTCAAGAGGACTGGTAACTCAAAAGCGGGAACTGCCGAGGACAGTAGCAAGGGTTTCAAAATTCCCTGTGAACTTTGTGTTTTTGGGATATGCCTTTTAACACTGAGTGCTTGATATCATGCAGGAATGATAGGGCCCCAAAAGCCATTCACCTACCACACTCGGTTTGTCACTCCTGCAAGACATGCAGCCGTTTCACGTAAGGATGCTCTCCAGCTACATAGATCCCACATTTAATTCCTTACAAGAGCATCACTGCCCTGGAGTTATTTCTAATAATGATTCCCCAGGTACAGGCTAATTCGTTAAACTATTTTAGGAGCTTAGCTAGGGGACTACATTAAAAAAAAAAGTATACTTTGTGTGGGTGTTTACTCAAGGAGGTCAGGTCAAGTACCTCCCTCAAAGGTACAACATTAGGTAACCCTCGGGGAACGCTTCTGACCGTAAACCCAGATTCTAAGGCATGCCTCCATTTTACGTCCGTTTTAACAGTCGTGGAAGCTCAGGCACAAACGGCATGCAGTTCGAAACTGAACAAGAACAGGGCATGATATCATACGATGCATTTTATTTAATAAAGCGAAGGGGGGGATCGGGGGGTGGGGCCTCTGGGTTCCGCCTGGGCCGCTGCGCTGGGGTGTGTGGGTTTGGGGGCGTGGGCTCTATCTGCTGGGGCCGCTGCTCCGGCTCCCGGGCGGGTGGTCGCCCGCATGCTGGGGGGCCTGGTCTGCCCGGGCCCGTTGCCTGGTGGGGGCGGGTCGTTGTCTGCCGTTGGCGATTCCGGCGCGGGGCCCTCGGGCGCTGTGGGGTGGTTTGGGGGGGGCGGTGGGGGGGGTGGGGGGGGGGGGGGGGGGGGGGGGGGGGGGGGGGCCCCCCCGCCTGGCTGGTCCGGCCCCCGGTTTGCCGGGGGGGTCTGGGGTTGTCCCGTCCTTGGCC